CTTTGAATATGTCCCTCAAATTCATGTGTGGAAACTTAATTCCCGAAGACAACGATGATGAAACAGAGTTGGGAGGCGGGGTCTAATGGGAGGTCTAGGTCACGAGGGCTCTGCTGTAAAGAGTGGATTAATGCTGCCACAAAAAGAGCTTGCAGGAACAGGCTGTCTCTTCTGCTCTTCCGTCATGCAAGAATATGACTTTCCTCCCCTTCAGAGAAGCAGCATATCATGTTAGAAGCAGAGAGATTGGGCCCTAATCTGATAGCACTTTGATTTTTTTTTTTTTTTAAGACAGAATCTCACTTTGACATTCTTGGTAGAGTGCTATGGTGTCATAGCTCACATCACCCTCAAACTCTTGGGCTCAAGCAATTCTCTTGTCTCAGGGTCCCGAGTAGCTGGGACTACAGGTGCCCCCCATAGTGGCCAACTATTTTTAGAAATGGGTTCTCGCTTTTGCTCAGGCTGGTCTCAAACTCCAGAGCTCAAACAATCTACCCCTCAAACAATCCACCCGCCTCAGCCTCCCAGAGTGCTAGGATTACAGACGTGAGCCACTGTGCCAGCCTTGGCACCTTGATCTTAAATATCCCAGCCTCCAGAATTATGAGAAATAAATTTCTCTCCTTTATAAATTATTCAGTCTGGGGTATTCTGTTATAAGAGCCCAGAGCAGACTAAGTCAGAGATATGCATGGGAACTGGGAGCAAATCATAGTGCGATGTTATGAAAGGCTCCCCGAGGAAGTGACCTATGAACTGAGAATAGAAGCAAGAAATGGAGCTTCTAAAAGACCAGGGGAAGCCAAGCCCGGGAGGGGAATTCCCTACACAGAGACCAGGGTGTGAAAAAGCCAGAGGGTGAGAGAAAGGGGAACTGAAGCGCTCTGTGCAGCTGGAACACAGAGAACAGGAGGGGATCTTCAGAAGGAAGGTGGAGGCCGAGTTGTGAAAGCCTTTGACTGCTGCTCATAGGAGACCATGAACTTGGTACTGCAGACCCAGAGACTTTTAACATGAGCTTCACAGGCCTTTGGGGCTTGGGATGTGGTTTGTTCTAAACATGGAAATGCTCGGTTATGGTGCCACAGATGTGGGCTGCTTTAACAGTGGGGGAAATGGACTTCCACCCAGTGGTGTGCTGGAAGCAGTCATCCAGGCTCAGGGGCCGACTATGCACAGTTCTTCCCAACTCTGTGCTCAGTGACCTCACATTACTTACAGTGAGCCATGGTGGGGGTACTCACACCATGGAGGTTGGCAAACCCAACCACGCAGGGCTTCCATCATCCCCAGCCAACCCACGGCTGGTTGTTAAACATTTAGAAAGCACAAGTGCTTCTACCTAATAATCCAACCCGAAGAGGAGACTGGCTCTCCAGCCTCCACCATTCCATTCAGGAGAGTTTAATGCTGTGATCTTTGCAAATAAGGAAGTGACCGAGACTGGGGAAGTTTATTTTCGTTTGCCCTTCAGCATCAAAGACTGGGTAGCAGAAGTTTTAAAACCACAAGCTTTGAGGACAGACAAACTGAGGTCCAAATCACCACCCTGCCACTATAATTAGCTGTGCGACATAAGCAAGCAATGTGACCTCTCTTGAGTTTCATCTGTTGTTGCGTGAAAGTTCCTTATGAGTGGCCGGGGACACAGGTGTAGATTTTGCATTGAAATTGTATGGCATAAAGGAGATTAACGCTCTTATGGCAGATAGCAAATTTCCTTATGCCTGCTCAGCTTAAATAGTAGATGCTGCATGTATGCGCTGAAACAGACTAACTTTTTTAAGTGAGACACATTCTTCTAAGTTATCTATTATGCTCAAAATTGCAGTCAGGGAAAAGCAGACGGTTAATTCTCTAACCCATTTCTTTTTTTTCTTTTCTTTTTTTTTTTTTTTTTTGAGACCGAGCCTCAAGCTATCCCCCTGGGTAGAGTGCCGTGGCATCACAGCTCA